AGCATCTCTTTCCCCTGTCTCCCAAGGTCTTTCCCCCATACCATTACATCGGACTTCGGAGTCTGAGAGGCTGTCAGTAGATGCAGGCAGGGCATCCTGGGGACTTACTAGAACTGCTTCAACCAGAATGGAATCACTGGCTTCACCACTGCTGGAATCACTCACAGCAAAACTATTGTTCCTACTGTCAGTGTTCCTGTCTTCACTTCCTCCCCAACCTCCTTATCAGAAGACAAGTCCAACAGGGCCATAACATTGTACAGTAAGAGTTTTCAAAGATTACAGTCAGCAGTACTGGGTATCACTTTGGTCAGGTGTTCCTTCCAGTCCCTGGCTGTAATCCATCTGCTCCTGGAGACTTGAATTCTTTAAGTTAGCAAGGTGGATTTTTATTACATCTTTATCAGTCCAGAGCTGCCTCCTTTATCTATATACTACTAAAATTCTCATTGTGTTTATCTGTTTGTCTGTTTGTACTCTCAAGTTAGTCCAAATGGTGCATTATACCACAACAATTTTTGAATCAAGGTACCTAAAATCTGCTAATTTAAAAAATGCATAAAAAATCTGGGACCCATTACTCCTGTGGAATTGACATTTCCAGGATGTTCAGATCAGTTTTATTCACAAAGGTGTGGCCGTTGCAGCGTCCCTGCAGACACGTGATCATGATTTCTGACTCTCCCTGCCAGCTTCCCACAAGCAAAGTCAATGGGGAAGCCGGCAGGAAGTTGGAAGTCACTTCTACTCCCTCTGCTTTTTTGCCTGTCTGTGGTCATGGTAAAGCCAAGCGATGGCAATACCATTCAGGAAAATTTAATGATCGTTCTGGTCACATCAGACTGCACTACCTTTCTCTCAAAGGATGACCCAATGGGTCACAGGTTGTCTAGTTTCATATATATATATATATACACACATATCCATATATACATACACACACATATATACACAATTTCTATGGCCGCCCGTCTCAAACAAGTGACTCTGGGCATTGAACAGTCATAAAAACAATTAAAACCAAGTGCAAACACAATTCAAAAAATAAATATATGTAGCAGCTGAGAAAAAGTATAACCATAGATATTAATATAACCAGGAAATGAGGCCCTTAACACACTCGGGGCCCCAGGCTCAGGCACAAAACCAGGTCTCCAAGGCCTTACAAAAGGCCAACAGAGTCAGGGTCTTCTTAATCTCTGGAGGGAAGATGTGCCAGAGGGCAGAAGAGGCAGGCCACCTTATAGACACACACACACAGACACACTTTTAATTTCTCCCTATTCTCTATTATTTGCTATCTTCCTGACACAACAGCAAAAAATAAAAATAAAAAATAAAATAAAATCACTCAATTGTTTCACTAGAACTTTGATTCTGATCAGGAGTTCTCAGTTTTTTGTTTTTTTTTAAACTAACAAGTTCCACTGCTGAAAAAGTCTGAAAACTCTTGATCTACAGTATATGATCTATATATGCATCTATAACTATATGTACAATCTTCCTACCTGTCCTGGCCCAAAAGGTTAACTTTCAATATTAACAGTTATTAAAAATTATTACTTGCTTGAAGAAATAAATTAAATCCTTTAAAAAAGTAAACATTCCCCAATAGAACAACAATAAAAAGATGAAAGGGACTTAAATCATAATTGCTCAGAAACTACCTGTAAAATAAACCCAGCAACAGAGAAGCTTATTCCATGGCCTTTAGAAACAGAGGGCTACTGTTATACAGCAATACAGAATAAAGTCAAACAAGCACCATTTAAGGGAAGGTGCAAAGAGAGCCTTGTTCCTTTTCCACTATATGTGCTCAGTAATAAATTTCATGCAGTTCAGTGAAGCTGATTAGGTAAGTGGGATAAGATTGTAACCTTAGCTACTTTGGCCAGATACATGTATATATGCATGTACGTAGCAGAACAACGAGATGGAATCTGACTCTGTTGCTTTGGTGCATGCTATTTGCGTTGTTCTCCCATGGAACAAAGCCTCTCTTGAGCCAAGCTTGCCTACTGGTGATTCAGGGATGGGTCGATATTATCTTCTTGGCAATAGTGTGGAGGTGGTTTGACACTACTGTACTTTCTTTTGGATTTTTTTCCTACCTTTTTGGTTTGGTCTACAACTCTGGTGAAATCCCAGACCCAAATCTGTTCAACTTCTAAACCCAAACTGATCAGCCAGGTGAATCATTTGTTGAAACTGTCCCACATAACTTTCAGTATATAAAACCTAACAGGTTAGGCAGAAAGGTTTAATCCTCACTGTTCTAGTGGTCTTTTAAATTGTATTTTACTTTTTTCTAGTAGTTGGTTTTAAAACAGTAAACCTTTAAAATGTTCTGTTCCTCCCATAGCCTACCGTCTTAATACTCATATTCCTGATTGCTACCTGAAGTCATTATTTTGCTTCTGAAGGTTTAGGCATTCAGATTTCTCTTTTAGAATCCTACCTTGCACTTATCAATATTTTCAGTGTAACTACAATCACAAATTATTTTTAAAGGTTTAGTTCCAAACTTTATCTCATCCAAGCTATTTCTTGGTGGACAGGAAGTGCTTTTGTTGAAGATACCAAAGGAAATTGACTCTCAGCCAAAATATACCATCAAACCACTGAAAAATGTTATTTTGAAGATATGACTTGCAATCATAGGCACATAAATAATTATGAAGGGATGTTTTCCACTTCTGTTTTGTATATTTGATGAAAGAAATCTTGAGTGCAATCTAGTTTCTTCCAATTTTAAAACTGTGTCCATAAAACATACATGCACAAGAGAGAATAAAGACATTTACATGTTTTGCTTAACAGTTGCATTCTCTGTTTCTCTTAGGTTTTACTGGGACTTAATAATGCTTATCATGATGGTTGGAAATCTTGTAATTATACCTGTTGGAATTACATTCTTCACAGAACAGACAACCACACCATGGATTATTTTCAACGTAGCGTCAGATACTGTGTTTCTGTTGGACTTGATCATGAACTTTAGAACTGGCACTGTTAACGAGGATAGCTCTGAGATAATACTAGACCCCAAAATCATCAAGATGAATTATTTGAAGAGCTGGTTTGTGGTTGACTTCATCTCATCCATACCAGTGGATTATATCTTTCTTATTGTAGAAAAAGGAATGGATTCAGAAGTCTATAAGACAGCTAGAGCACTTCGTATTGTGAGGTTCACAAAAATCCTCAGTCTGCTACGTTTGTTACGACTTTCAAGATTAATAAGATATATTCATCAGTGGGAAGAGGTAGGTTTCTCTTTTGCATATTCCCTCAGCCTTCTAATGCTTTAAAATGATAATAATGGTGCTATATTAAGACAGGTGAGAATTCTTGGCTTGTTGGATATGAATTGCATTTCATCTTGTTAATTATTTTTTAATTCTATCAATTGTTGTTCAGTTCATTTTATTATGGTGTCTGAGATATTTTACAGAAAACTGTTAGAGATTCAGCATAATAATATTCATGTTGTGAGAAAGAAAGTGCCCAGAAAAATTAACAATGAGATGCTTGTTCCATTTATAAGATGCCTTTCCATCAAAAATCATACTTAAGGGGCCTGAGAATGAAATGCAGGTAAAATAATAAAAAAGATAATTAAAACATATTATAATTAAAGTTCAAAAGTGATCCATTTCAAATTAACTGAATGCCTAACAGCATTTGCTAGATTAAATAAATAAAAACACTAAGCAGATTAAAATCCACAAATCAGTTTCTACACTAGAAATTATCAATCAGCACAACCTTGCCTGGCAATGAAAAGATGGCTTAGCCTGATCTGAAAAAGGAGTTTTGAACTTGGAAACAGCCACCAATATGGGCCTCTGTCATATTCCTTCCAAAAGTGATCTCATAATTTTGGGACATGCAAATGGGCTTTCCCTATGGATCTTAAAACCAGCTCTCAGTCTCATGCAGAGGACAGGTCAACGTGCTTTATCCCAAGAACTTGATTAGATTGACCAGCGGTGCATTCACACAAGACTGCTATGGTAGTATCATAGTACAGAAGCAACTTATGTAACGCTAGCATCATCCCACTTTCTGTACTGGCTTGTTTGTAATGCTAGTAATTTTAAATGCCCTTATTGTTGTATATAATAGCTGTTACTTTTTCATAATCAGTAATGAACTGTACTTCATGTTTCTTATTGCAATAGTCAGTAGAAAATACAGTCATACAGCTATTTTCAGTAGAAGAAAGTTAGTAGAAGAAAGTCAGTGGAAAATACAGTCATACAGCTATTTTCAAACTCACCTTGAGTTTTTTAAAATTTCTTCAATAAGGGGCTGAGTCATGGTGTGGTTTTAACATCAACAAATAGGAATGGAAAGATATGAAATGCACTAGCGCTCAGTTGTCTTACTGGTTCCTCCTTGATTCTTGGTACTGTTTTACAGAAGCCTGGAAATTCTTCTACAGCTCTTTTCAGAAAGAATACAGAGTGTAAGAGAGTTCCTTTTCCTGCTCTATGGAACATAAATAATTCTTGACAAACAATGCTAATGTCAAGAGAAAAGGTTTAGTAAAAAAGTAGAAAAGTCTGTAAATATTTGCCTCAAATCACTCATATAACCAAAGTGCAATTAATTAGACTTGATTTTTTATCCCTTCTTCATAACTGCAGTCTAAATAATTCAGTATCTACTCGTGGATTTTTTTTTCAGAGTGGAGGGTGGGGAATGAGAATTAATATGGTTATTTCATTTCTCTGGGGCTGCCTGCATATTGTCTCAGTGATTTTTACCCTGTTATTAATTATACATTATTTAAATTTAATTTTCAAAGCTGCCTTGCATAAGCAGAAATATACCTTTGCACAAGGCACCCCTACCAAAGTCACACAATTTCTCCATCACATTACAATCCATCACCATCACCCTACCACCACCACCACACACACACATCAGAGGTTTTCTTCCTCTTTAGAAGAAAACCTTGGCAGAGGAAAAGTACAGGGGTCGGGAAAAGACTGGGCAGCGCCAGGAAGGTACAATTATGCTTCCTTTTTTTAGATTCAACCCATTCATAACCTCTTAGCTTCTATGCCAAATTGCAAGTTTGTAAATTAAAAGATTCAAGTGTGGTCACTTTTAGTTTTCCAACACTGGGAAGAGGTGATAAGGACCAGTGAATTCTTCATCTACAATTAAAAAAAAACACCCACTAACTTGTTCCAAATGCTTCAGAGAACTTTCTGCTTTGCTAAACCACTGGTTCCATTCTGGCAGCATTTGCAGATGTTAAAATGTCACATCTTAAATACTGACCATGCTGCTTTTACATTATAGCAAGGCTTTCAACATTTTTTTTTAAACAGTGTAATTCTTTGGAGATATTAACAAGGGGAGGTAAATTGGAAAATATAGCAAATGCATCTTTTTCGTGATGGATTTCCTTAATTTTGGATGGTTTGCAAGTGGCCATCCTAGCACCAGGAACACCATTTTGTGATTCACAAAGCAGAAGGAAACACCATAGGATTATAAAATTTAACAGATCAGTTCTGTGATTCAGTAAAACGTGTTGCTGTTTTGCCAGTGAACAGTATTATTGTTGTTTTATACTTCAAGATGACAAGAGATGCTCCTTAGAAATAACCCCGTTTAGTATGAAACACTGAGAGAAAAATGAGAAAAAATGATACTCTCCATTAGTGTTCCAGGGGGATTCTAAGTTTATTAAAGTCAGGGTTTTACTTCCTCTGAGCTGTTGAAAGAAATTAAATAAATAGCATTTTTGCTGATAATTTATTTTTAATGTTATAGCTAAAAGCTATAACAAAATTTGGTACATTAAGGATGTAAATCCCAGGGGGGCATGATGAGAAGATTGCTGTAGGTAGATATCCTTCACCTCCCCTTCCCTCCCTGTCTGTCTAAGGCAGTGTTTCTGAACCTTGGCAACTTGACGATGTGTGGACTTCAATTCCCAGAATTCACCAGGCAGCCTTACTGGCTAGGGAATTCTGGGAGTTGAAGTCCACACATCTCCAAGCTGCCAAGGTTCAGAAACACTGGTTTAAGGGGGGGGAAACCCTCTAGTTTCTGGAAACTTAGTTACTATTATTTCTAGAATAAAACCAAATATAATAGAAGGTGATAATCACCATCATGGTATCAGGTTTTCATCCAGGCCTCCACACTGTGCTCTGTATTCATCCACTATCTGATCTTACGTTTATTCATTTAAATTTATATGGCTGCCCATCTCAAATCCATGACTCTAGGTGGCTAACAACAGTTAAAAACACTGTATGACCACACATAACAATAAAAGGAATACCAGTATAATAGGCAGCCAAGGTAAAAACCGTAACAACCAAAAAACAAGTCAACACCATCTTTGCGTGGGCTCTGCCCTTAGTCTTCCTAACGGGTAACTTATTTTTCAAACATTGGAAGTAGTGTTTTCAGATGTTATGCTGCAGTTTAAGTATAAATATAATACATAATTTTAAAAAGCCTAATAATCAGGGAGGCAAAAACAGCATCAACCAATGCTTGACAAAGGGTCCTCCTCAATTGCTGGCTTGTTGCAGCAATGTAGGATCATGCCATGTTGTAAGGAAGCAGCCAGTATTCCAAATTTGACAGAGGAGCAATATTCACATTCAAAAGAATTCCCTTTTCACTAATACCACAGCAATTGCAGTGCTGGAGGGGTGGCCGGCAAAAACTTTCATATTCTCTCCCTGTTCATTTTAGAGAGTTCATTAGAACCCTTCTGTAATTAACACTAAATAAAATGTTATTATATTTCTAAATAAAATATGTAATCCCCATCTCTAGGCATTAAAGTTGCATACCCCTAGCATAGTTGCCATGCTGGGTGGGAATTCTGGGAGTTGTATCTGATTATATGTTTGGAGATATTCGTTCTCGCTGACTTGATGAGGCATTTATATTTTATCCCAACCCTGGCATCTTTAGTAAGTGTATCTATTTGACAGTGGAATGGAATGTCTCACCTGTGCTAATATAGTTGACATTCTTAGCATTTGGTATTTTGTAGTGACATGCTTTGATAATGCCATAGGCATCCCTCCAGAGATTCTATTGCAGCAGGTTGCACATCTGGTTTCCTTTTGAAGTTTAACTCTATGTTCATAAAATAAGAACATCTGCTTTCCTTTGTTGAATTTTGAGCAATGCTGAGGAACATCATAAGGCTTAAAAATGGGGCTTGTGGAGAAAAGTGGTCTAGATGTTTGAGCTTTAAAAAATGAAAATAAGATGTCAGTATATGATCAGGAAAATGGCCTCAAGAACATGCAATCTTTGCTCTTTGCGGCAAACCATGTAACTGCAGCTTCCAGCTTTCTAGAAGGACTATGCACGGGATTCCTGGGGATAAAGGTGATATGAGGGCATCCTGTCTTGGTGGAATTCTGCTCAAGTGTCCCTGTGTGCCCCTTGATTTGGTTTGATCCTAAAATCTGCTTTGGTCCTGATTCCTGCTAAGGGATCACATGTTCCCAAAGAAAACAGCAGCATTATATTAGGGATGAGCGGCAATGTCAGATTTGCTCTTTCTGGATTTCACATTTCAATGGCCACAATCTTTATTTGACCTCGTTTTGTAAAAATTGGTTAAAAAGAGACTCTAGTAATATTTGTACTCATTTTTTAAATGTATCTTGCATTTTCATACGTGCATGTTTTGCATGAAAATAGGTCACAAAAATGGTCCAAAATCAGTAGAGTCATCTAAAATGTTGATGCATACTCCAGGAACTGGGCCATCATTGTACCTAATATACTGAACTGACTGGCTTGTTAGAGCTAAATATGTCTTTTTTTCCACTGCAAAACTGCTAAATTCCTAGACTGGGGAAATAAGGCATTTGCAGTGGCAGCTGGAGGCATAAACTGCAAGATATATTTATATAGAGAAGCAAGATATTGAGATGTAGCAGGAATGGATAAGACAAGTAATGCACAGTCATTCTTTATTTGGCTGTGATACTGTATAAGCAGAAAAGATGCAGATATCTTTGATGGTGGCTTTGATTCTGATGTAGGTAAAATAAACAGGAAGTAAATTACTGAGGCTGGAGGGAGTGAAAGAGTAACGTTATGCATGGGGAATTGATATTTGTTCTAAAACAGCAGCATATTTTCTGTGAACCATCTGCTCTTTAATCAAGACATTCGTATATTGATCTGCAAGGTAAATTAAGGTGAAAAGATAAGCTCCTGTGGCTACCAAACCTAACATGCTTTGCATATAAAGAAATGC